TGTTTCTGTGAAAAGGAAAAAGTTGTTAATTTCAAATCTTTTCATTTGTACCCACCTTACTTCTTAAAAGAATGACCAGCATTCCTATTTATGATTGTTCTTTTAATATTTTGTCAAAGTTGTTAAGCTCAAATATTTAATGATTCAATAGGGGAATTTTATTGTCATAGAACTCACTATGACCTTACTCAATCATTAATTAAGATTCATCAGAAAATTCATGCATCTTTTCTAGTTATATTTCAATTTACAAACTGAACATTTCTTTTATTACCTCCTTTTTCTTTATTTTTTAATCTAAAAGAATTTAAATATCATTGTTGTTATGTTATGTAATTAAAGTGAAAATATGAAAAGAAACTAGCCTTTTAAAAAAGTTTGTTTCTTACTCATGTGGCATGCATATTCATGTGGCCTCTTCCCACCATTTAAGAGTTAATTGAAAATCTCTAATCTCCCAATCAGAGGCCTTGCTGCCGGATGTAGTTTATCATCAAACCCAGGACTTCAGAAAGCCAGAAGCAATAAATGGGGGAAGATTGGAATGAATGGATATTCATTTTCACTACTCGCACATGGACTATTGTCTTCAGCTTTGTGGTTGTTATCACAATGTTTCAGCTGCAGTAACCTTGCGGCCTTCATCAGCTGCTTGTCCATCTATGGAAGTAGAATGTTCTTGGTCCACTGACCATGTCTAGGGATATCTCATCTACTTCTTATTTAGTACTGCATAATTATTGTTACTTTCTCCATTTCCACCGAGTCTCTGGATGTGTTGTTGGTGTAATAGATAGCAGCTTAGGAAGAGTAATTGGAGAGCTGAGTTCAAATTGAGTTAATTACATTCACTTATGTGCAAATACCCTTTGGAAAAGTATGAATCTATCTTTTCTCCCCACTAGCTATAGGTTAAATAGTAGGACTTGTATCTGGAAAAAACATTGTATTTCTTAAATAAAATTGTTAATGCAATATTCACTCGCAAACAAAAACAAACATTCTTCTTCCAATGCCTCACAGAAATGTTTCATTTTAAATAACCCACAAACTGTTGATGAGCTGTTAAAAAAAACAAAAAAACAAATTCATTATGTTCACTGGCACACACTTGTCTAGGGACTGAGTTCACAATTGACAAACCAACACTTTAATTCATTAGGCTATTATTCCATGGGACAATCCTGAGTGAAGAACTTGAAACCTTAAATCTAACCCGACTGCTGATAAGTATTGCTTCTATGTCATGCTTGGCTGCATTTACTAAAGTTTCATGTTTTATAAGTAATCCTGTTTTATTGATCATGGATTTGTGAACATGCTTAGGAGATGACCAGTATGTGAATGTGTTTAGGAAATGACCAGTATTAGATCAGTTATATATAAAAAGCTGGATGGTTGGTCAGACCAATGGAAGACACAGAATTATATATATATATATATATATATAAAACAGGTAAGGGGGTACAAAGTACAGTTGGTCTTACTAGGGTATGTAGTTTAGTACAATAGATTTTCATTAATATTTTTTTTTTTTTTTTAGAAAAAATAAGTTTTTATTATTTAACATACAAAATACTCTCACTATTTTAAAACAATTTAATGATTAAAATAACAAGTACTTATTTAATAAAAATGCAATATGTTCTTTTTGCATATTTTTAAGTTTATTAAATATATATAAGAATCCAGTTTCCAGTTCACTTTGTGTTTGCAAGAACTATAAAAAAAAAATCACATGGCCAATTGCTTCAAAAAGTTGTAATTTGGCTCCGGAAAGAAATATTTATATATGGTCAGTTGTATGTTGCATGCTCAAGAGTAAAAAATCCCAGAAATTGTTCTGATAAGGAAAGAACTTCTGAATTTGTTGGCGAGGGCCTCAGACTCAATGCAGAGGCCTACATCAAGTGCCTTGAGGAGGTAGTACTACCCTGGGTTAAGTGGATGGCTGCTGGAAGACCCTATGTCTGGGAACAGGACTTTGCACCATGTCACACAAGCAGGAGAATCCAGTCATGGCTGTCATGGCAATTCTGTGGTCACATCACCCCTTACATCTGGCAACCTAACTCTCTAGATTGCAACCCCCTTCATTATTATGTGTTGGGTGCAGTTGAGCGAGATACCAATAAAACTCCTTGTAAACACCAAAGATGAACTGAAGACAAGGATTATAGCAGCATTCCCCAACAAACAAGGAGACTGTCCAGAAGAGTTGCAGGAGATTCTGAAGTCGTCTGGAGGCCATGGTTGAAGCCAATGGCAATTTTATTGAATAAATGTAGTCTTTAGAACTTCAAGATATTTTTGTGTCATTTTGGTAAATATATCTGTTAAAATGAGATGTCAGGGTTATTTTCATTTTTGTGTAATTTAGATGACAATTTATCCATCGCACCCTGTAATTGAAATTAATATATAACGGCAAATATCATGTTGTTTCAGTAAGTGTTTGCCAACCCAAATCTAATCAGAGATTATTTATTTTTAAGCATTTCACCCCATCAACGGATAAAGCCATTAAGACAAAAGGGTTACTCCATGTGAAAGAATCGGTGGAAAAAAAAAAGAATAATGAGAGAAGACAATAAAAAAACAGGTTTTAAGGAGACAAATGATGATATTTTGTGTTGCATTCAAACTTTTGGAGAATCATAGTTGACAGGAAAGGAAGAAGCTAGAAGAAAATTCAACCAGTGCAAAGAAACTAAAAACATAGAACTGATTGTTACATCTAACAGTTTCAATTGAAAGAAAGAGTGTCTTCATCAGACTTTACAAAAGTTTTTTTTTTTACTCATTTCACCTCAAGCAAGGCAATAAAGCTACTAAGTCAAAAGGGGTTACTTATTGCCAAAGAATATGAAAAAAAGAAAAATTTGAGAAAGAGGACAATAAAAGAGATGGATTCAAGGAGACAAAATAGTGATTGACATTGCATTTAAGTTTTTGAAGATCAATTTGACTGGAAAGCAAGAAGCAGGTAGAGAGTTCCACAAATGAGAAGTGTGAGAAAAGAAATTGTTAGCATAGAATTTACAGTTATATCTAGACATTTCAACAGTAAAATGATATGTAACTGCCAATCTTGTACTGCACTTAGTCATCAAATTGAGATATGAAAGAGGTAAGCCCATCAGAACAAATGCAATGGTTTCATCGATATAACCAAACATTCACGTCCAATTTTAATTCATAAAAATCTTTAGATAAAGTGAGGAAATATTTTGTTATTTTTTCCAGAATTTTTTCAGACTAACCTTCCTTCCTTTTCTGATTTCACCAATTCTGACCCACATTTCAAAGCACATGCACCTCTCACTACCCTGATATTCTGGTTGGTTGTAAATCTGCTACCTGCTGTATCCATCATAGAGCTTCATATCCTAACCCTTGCTAATGATTGTATCCTGTTTTGTTTTAAAGTTAAACTGTTGTTAATGTTATTGCCAATATTGTCATTTAAGCCAAAACCAGCTAATGTCAAGTGAAGGACAAACATTTTCTTTTTACATTATATATATTATAAAATATAGGGTGTATCAAAAGTACTTTTACAAACTTGGTGGAAAGGTTACTCACACCAAAACAATGACAAAATTCCGTATAAACATGGACACAAATCCTTTGTTTTTGAGTTATTAAGTTTAAAGTTTATGGTAGATGCTGTTAAATATATAATTCAAGAATACTTTTATAAACATTATGGCCATGGATTCTGTCTCAGAAATGCAACAATAAACAGTAGCAAAGGTTAGATGGCAATGCTATCTATCAGATAGTGCATTCTTGCTTCCATTACAATATTCACAGCTGTATGTATATATCATTTCTGCCTACTCACATTATGAATATTCTGCCATTGGAAGACTTATCAGTTAACTCATTACTACACATGATAAATGTTGAAGACAGACTGGCCACAAATGTACACAAATGACAAATGTTACCTAGTCTACACCGCAACACAGTACCATCTACTGGAAACTTTCTTTAAAAAAACCTCAAAAACTGTGTTTATTTGAACTTTTGTCCTTGTTTTGGTATGAGGAACCACTCCCATCCCAAAGTATGAAAAATTATTTTTGATACACCCTGTGTGTGTGTGTGTGTGTGTGTGTGTGTGTGTGTGTATATATAAATATAATGAACTGATTCCTCTCTTTATGACCAGCAGAACATTTAAAAATACATCATAGATGTGAGAATGAATTTTATGATTATTTAAATATTAAACTCATAAAAATTTCAATAACAAAATGATCTGTCTTTTTTTTTCTTCTTTTTTTTTCTTTTTTTTTTCTTTTTTTTTTCTTTTTAGCAAGATTATTTTTATAAACCTTTGGAGGCGTAAAATTGGGGATCAGTTTACTACTTAGCTAAGAACAAAATTTATACCCCATTTCATATCAGACATTTTCCTAAGCATAAAGCTGGACAAAAAGTGGGAGATCAGTCTAGTACTTAGCTAAGAACAAAATTGATCCCTCATGTCATAGCATTCATTAGCTGAACAGATTTGATCCCTCACTTAATATCAAACGCCTTTATTAATTATAAAACTGGATATATAGATTGATTCAGTCATTTATTTTCTATGGCTTATCAAACTTTTGCAGGTTATTTGAAGCCAGAAAATATTTTAGATTGTAAAAAAAAATTTTTTTTTCCATTTAGATAATCCTGATTTGGTGATAGAAGTCTTACATATTAACCCATAACCAGGAGGGGAAGATGAAGATTCATATCTTTCCCAAGGGCATTTGCACATAAGTGAATATAATGAACCCAACTGGAATTGGGTCTTGGCTCACCGATTAACAATTCTGAGCCACCACTCAAAAATTCACATTCTTCCCAGGTGATCACTCATCTAGGTACTGGCCAGTCTCAATGTTGCTTAACTTCAGTGATCATATGTAGACTGGAAAACTGGATGTAAAATAAGGAATTAGTTTGATGTTAATGGCCATTAGATGAATATAATTTCCACATTTACGACCACATTATGTTGAAATACCAGTTCCCTTACGATCACCAAGGTTAAGCAATGTTGAGCCTAGTCAGTACCTAAAAGGGTGACTGTTTGGGAATACTAGGTGCTGTAATGGAGAATAGCTTAGAATTTTAAATCATGGAGCCAAGTTCCAATTTCCGTTTGGTTTGTTATATTCACTTATATGCAAATACCCTTATGAAAATTATGAATCCACCTATTCTTTCCCTATCTATGGGTTAATTAATAAGACTTGTATCACTAAAAATCATTATTATCTCCTGTAAAAAAATTCCTTATCTCTTAGTTGTTTAGGATTAGGTTCCAAGTCCCTTAAAGCCTTTTTATTCTCCTAACGTCTTCTCATTTTCCTTCACACTCAGTAAACCCCTTGTGTCTTAGTGGCATTATTGCTTTGCTTGGGGTGAAATGATTAAAAAAAAGAAAACTATAAAAATATTTTCTAACTTTAAATAATCTGCAAGGGGTTGATAACCCATAAAAGACAAATCAATATAATTTTCAGGGAACGTAACTATATGAATGAATAGTTGATGATTTTGGTTATGAGATGATGAATCATTTTAATAGGTGAATTAAAACAAATCATCCACCATTTTCTGATCAATAGTTTTAGCATTGGACCCATAGAGAGGGATCAGTTTAGAATAAATGATAAAAAGTATCTTTTTTTTTTTAAATCTTTAAGTTTCAGCAGTTTAATGTGAAGAGACAACCTTTTATTAATTTTGAAGAGAAAGAACTGTATCTGACATCATTATTTAAAAAAAATTGGCTTTAAAAAAATTTAAATTTAAAAAAAAAAGTTTTTTTTGTTCATTTTTAATTTAAATGATTTTGCTTTTCTTTATTCTTGTTTTTCTATATTTTTGTTTTTCTTTTAAATCATTTTTTATTTGCTTGCGAACATTTTTAGTCCCAATTTGAATTGATTTTAGGTTTATTTTTATTTAGTATAAAATTTTTTTTACTTATTTTTGTACTTATTTTTTTTACTTATTTTTATTTAGTATAAAATTTTTTTACTTTCCTCATATATTTTTCTGTCATTTTTCTTCACATATTTCTTCACATTTTGCATGTGAAATGTGAAAATTTTCAAACAATTTCTACTCACAATTTGCATGCATGTTAGAATGACTTGATAAAAAAAAAATGACTTACAAATATGCTTCAACTGACATCAAAATTTCTCTTATTCAACCTGAATGGAATTCAGAAATCCTCCTCCCCTAACCCTACCAATAGAAATACTTGTGTATATTTATATATATATATATATATATATATATATATATATATATATAGGGACAATATTGGGGAGAAATATATGACAAAGTGGAAAAGTTTTCTTGTGAAGCGTTTTGACAATTAGGACTTTATCAGGCTAAAGTTGTTTTGTTGGTGCCACTGCACATGTGTATGAATGAGGGATGCTGGAATTAAATTTTTTTTTTTTTATCCGATTTCATTTACATTTTTTTTCTTTTCATCACTTATTTTATTAGATATCCCACACTGTGGTAATAGTTTCCCACCATAATGAGACTGACCATAATTTTGACATAAAAAATGCTCCTCTGATCAAAGGAGAAAATAATTCACTATGATGAAAATGTTTAGAGAGTACCTTGGTCGCAAGATCATTCACAGTAAATTTGCACCCAGGCTCTTACAACATTTAACCATTTTTGGCAGATCTTCTATTATTACAGTGTGAGATATCTAATAACAAAAGTGTAAAGAAAAAGAATCTAAATGAATTTGGTGAGATAAAAAAAAGATAAAATTAAAAATTCCCAGCATCCCTCGTTCATGCTTATGTGTAGTTGCACCAACATAAATTTAGTCAGGTGAAATCCTAAAGGACGAAATGCATCACAAGAAAACTTTTTCCATTTTGTTATACATTTTACCCATATCTATCTATATATATATATATATATATATATTTTTTTTTTTAAGGTGTGCTATATTTATGGGATAAAGTGCTCAATATCAGAGATAGAGTGTATGTAAATAAATATAAAAGTGAACATTGAAGTCAACATTCAGAGGTGACAGGCTGTTTCATGCTAGACACAATTGTCAGGCTGAGAGTCTGACAAATGCGTCTAGCATGAAACAGACTGTCATTTCTGGGTGTTGACTTCAATGTCCACTTTTATATTTACATACACTCTATCCATGATATTGAGCACTTTAACCCATAAATATAGTGTATGTTAAAACTATATTTTATATAACACAGTGGTAAGTTTAGAAGGAACTTAAATTAAACAGGCTTCTTGGAAATCAAAGAAAGAGATGAATGAAATTTGGGAGCACATTTATGACTCTTGTGAAAATGAACAGGTTGTGTATTAGTATGTAAACAATTGAAATAGAAGAGTTTCTACTATGGACTTACATTTCTTTTATCGTGACTGTAGCAGAACAACGTCTCAGTTTCTCCTTGATTTGTCTGTTCTCTTTCTTGTCCTGAAGTTAGGGTATGTAAGTATTGTTGTATTAATGATTGAGCTCAAGACAGCCTTGCACAGATTTAGAACGATCAAAGAAAAGTTTCTATATACTTTATCATTGGGAGATTTAGACTTGTTTATGGGGTGTCCATATTTTTTTTCCTTGCTCCAGAAGTTAGGCTAAGTCAGTGCAAGTATCATTACAATGGTCATGCTCTAGTCAAGCTTGCACCAAATTGGAACAACTAGAGAGAAAGTTTGACCTACTTCATAGGTTGTGGTTTTTGAAAGATACGGGCAAGCACCATGTGTTGGAAAGTGGGAAAAGAATTCAATTGTCAGTAACCAGGGAAAATGATTACCATGCGCTTTACTTCTTGGAGAAAAAGAGTGAAGCAAAACATGTTTGCCTTTTTATAAGCTTCAATAATGTCACCTAATCATGTTAAGCAAAACAAAGTGGGGTAATCATATTTCCAGTTTCTTTACTCTTAGCATTTCTTTATCGATTTTGTTTCATTACTCATTATTTTCTTTATCGATTTTATTTCATTTTCCCATACTCTCCAAATTCCATGTGGATTGTTATGCATTCTTGAGGAAAAAATACTGGAGTGATCTCTTATTGCTTTCTCTGTGGTTTAGAATTCCAAATTTTCTTTCTCTTAGTCTTGGGTGTCAACCAGCCTATCCTGCTATTTAACTCATAGCTGGAGGGGAAGAGATGGATTCATGCTTTTCTCAAGAACATAATTGAATGAAATACACTAGGTAAAGTTATTCTAGAGAAATCAGTCTAAACTATTACTAAATAACAATAGAAAATTGATACCCCCTACTTTATGTCCAGTCGAATTTCTTTTTTTTTTTTTTCAAAGCACAGTTAATCAAGGATCTCCATAGGTCCCTTTTACTCATTATGTATAAATTATGACTTCTTGTAAAAAAAAAAAATAATTGTCTTCAATTGCTTTCTCAATGATTTTGAATTATGATGTTTCTTTCTCTAAGTTTGGTTGCTACCCAAGGTTTACCCTGCTATTTAATCCATAGCTGAGAAGAAAAAAAGATGGATTCCCAAGAGCATAAGTTAATGAAATAGATTAGGTGTAGTCATTCTAGGGGAATTATTCAAGCTATAAGAATGACTTCTTCGGAATATCAGGTGGTGTAAGGTTTGATGTACAGGTAGTGTATTATTGTATTGTATTGATGCGGCATTCACCCTGGGCGGATTGAGCCGGCTTCTTCCTGTTGTGAGAAGAAGATTCTTGGGATAAATTACAGAAGTAGGGTACCCAGGCCTACTCAGATAACGTTCTTGCTTGCCGCGGGGTTCCCACAGACGCAGAGACAGGAACGACCAGAAGCCGACGGTTACCGATGCAGACACTCCTTGGATTTTCACCAGAGCCCTTGTTAGCCGGCATGTGTGTCAGACCTGTCCGCCTTGGGTGGCCCTACCAGGAAACGAAGTTCCAGGCGGCATAACTCTGACACTGCAGGTTTTTTACACCCCCCCACCGACTGTGAGGTAAGGGTTGGACTTTGGGGCTTACAGTACCAGGTGTTCCCAAGCGGTCCCCATCTAATTACTGACCTGGCTCTACAATGCTTAACTTCGGTGATCGAATGAGAACCAGTGTTTTCAGCGTGATTTGACCGTAAGCAGGTAGTGTAGTGGATAATGGCTTGAAATTGTTAATCAGGGAGCTGAGTTCCAATTTCCATTCGGTTCAATATATTCCCTTATGTGCAAATACCCTTAGGAAAGCTATGAATCTCCTCCAGCTATGGGTTAAACAGTAAGACCTGCATCATTAAATCATTATTATCTCCTCTACAAAAAATTCTTAAAAATCTAAAAAACATTTTCTGGCTTTAAATAACCTGCAAAGGGTTCATAAGTTGTAGAAAACGAATCCATCAATCAATGAAATACTGATTAACTACACAGACATGTCTTTTAGATTTATTTAGATTCTCTAGAATATAAATGTACAGAAACACCCTTGTTCACAAAGTGAGGTATTAGTTTATATATAGATTGTAATATAGAATTGATCCACTTCTTTATATCCACATTTTAATTTCTTGCTTGTTTATCAAATTATGCTTAGGTATGAATCCATCTCTTCTGTTGCCAGCTCTAGGTTAATTAATAAGATTTGTATCACTAAATCATTATTATATCTTCTCCACCCACCCACCCCAAAGTTCTTAGAATCTAAAAATATTTTCTGGTTTTAAATAACCTGCAAAGAGTTCATAAGCCATTAAAAAAAATGAATCAAACAAACCATTTAAGTAAACTATTCTCATTCTGTTGTTCATATTAGGGAATAGTCTTATAAGTAATTCTTCTGTTATTTCATTTTTGGTTAATTAACATTTGCTTCTTCTGTTTATTCAACTAGAAAAGAGAATAGTAATTCCACTGCCTAGAACAGAAATTGAAAGATTCAGCAGACATTTTATAGCCTTGTATAACTTTCTCATTAGGCCTAGCATAGAAACAAAGACGATGCAGGGAGACTTTGACCAAGAAAAAATAGATATTAGGTTTAAAACTTTAAAAATATAATACCTGAAAATAAAAATTAGCTAATGTTGCAGTTTATGCTGT